TGCTGGAAAGACCAGCCGAGGCCCCCAGCGTACCTTGCGTTCCCAGAGCGGCCCTTTACACCCAGGGGAACCCGAGAAGCCCCAAAGCTTTGAAGACCACGAACCCATGACGTTGGCTCAGGTAGCTGCTGTAGAGTCCTGTGGAGGCAAAGCCAACGGTGCCACGACTGTCAACGGCCACAGTGCGGTTGGCAAGGCTCAGCCCATGTGCAATTGAGATCTTCTTGGTGAGCTTCTGATGTACCAGTTGCGTTGGTTGGCCCGTCGTGTCCACTCGGATGCTATGACAGCTGTCGTGAAGGAGTCTTGACTGTGGGCTAGTGGCTAGTGTATTCGGAGGTCTTGCTCGGGGCTCTTCATGTACCGAGTGTTTGGGTGATCTCAAGCTGGAAAGTGCGTGATGGTGCCAGTGGTGTCAGCGCGAGCGAAGACTCACACCCGCGCCAGGGGACCTCCTTGCCTTCTGGCAAAGGTCCTGCAGCATCAGCAGGTGCGGGCGAAGTCTGAGTCCAGCAGAGACTTTTCCTGGAACAAGTTTAGGGCTGCAGAGCTTCCACACAGGTTCATCCTTGGGGGGGGGGGGGAAGGGACTTCATGTCTCTTGCTTAAGGGCCCCGCCTGTGCCTTGATTTGTCAGGCAAAGGCTGGAAGAGCCCAGAGGCAGCCAAGGCAGCCAAGGAGAAGGCGGGGGGCGGAGACAGAAGTGACCCTCCAGAACATCCCGAACCCTCAAGAACATCAGGGATGCTCTTTGTAGCTATGCGACGTGTGCAGTGCATCCTTCAAGTGAGAGAGTGTGTGTGGTGGCAGGTGCAGATAACGTCTTAGCACGAGTGCTGACAGCGTAAACTCGAAAGTGCGCCCCCTTATCATGCACGAGTGCATTCCTGCGCGGCGCAGGATTCTGGTGACACAAAAGAGAGCACGAAGCCTCTCAAAGGCCTTCCGCTTTTTTTTGGTTGGCTCTGGACCCTCAACCTGAAGTGGCATGCCCGGCATGCAGACAGCATCTGGCAGGCCATGGCAAGTCCAAGAGCAAGAACTGGCAGGACAGCGGGAGTATGATATGAACTCTCGCAGACATGCCCACGACACGTTGTGGCATCAATGCAGTCGCCCGCAAGGACGAATGGTATGGTCGAACGCTTACTGCATGCAGATATGCTCTGCCTGTAGGTATCGAGTTCAGCCTTCTTACAGCACAAGTCCCACATGCCCCTGGAACCGTCTTGTCAGAGCGATGACACACGCGAGGCGGTCACGACTCGTGGTGGGGAGAGCAGGCGTGGCATGTACCATGCACATGTAGTGATACCTCATAATTCAATGGGCACTTTGTAGCTCTGCAACAGAGTCTTGGCTTCAGGAGAGTTGGGAGGATGGCTGGTGCCGGCGCCTCAAGCTTGAGCCAAGTGAAAGAGGACAAGTCTTGAAAGTATTGCCGCCTATTGCGGCATGCTGCATGGAGCAAGCAGCGCAGCATCTGCAAGCCTAACTTCGGCTAAGACGGAAGTGGAGGAGGAAGCTGGTGGGCTCTGCACCAAGTTTCTTGACGTTGCCGAGAATTTGTAGTGCTCTCATGTTGTTTGCTTGTGAGAGTGCACAGCCTTGACTGAGGGACAGGGTCAGCGAGGCCACTGGAATGGCCGCAGACCCAGAAAGGGTGGGAGAGGTCGTCTTGGTTGAAGAATGCCAGGATGTGCCAGACGTACAGAGGCCTTCAACGAACGGTGGTTGCAAAGATTGGCCTTCCCTAATGTGATGCAACGTGAGAAGCCCCCTTGCAACTTCAATGCTTACTAGCTTCAAGCCTTTGCTGGTCGTTCAGGGCTGCCCTGAACTCCAGGTTCCGGCCGGGCGTCCGGCACCAAGCGCTGGGCTCCTCGAGGCGCAGCATGTTGGGTTCGGCGTTTGGGATGTTAGGGAAGAACTCGCTGAGTCAGGGGAGTATGAGCAGGGGCGGTTCCGTAGCTGGCCCACTTACCAAATCACCTCACCCCCTCACCCGCTCACGCGCTCACTTTCCGATCTCCAAGCCAAGCTCGCCTTGTTGCCTCCGCGTTTTTGTTACGGAAGTGGGAGAACAGAGTGCCGCCATTGCTTGTTTTAGGCACTTCTGGTACTTCCGCTCCCTCTGGTGCCTGGGAGCAGAAGCCTCCAGCAGAAGGACCCGTGCTGCTGGCGCTGGCAGTGAAGACAGTGTAGGAAAAAGCGAGCAGAGCATGGCAAGATGGCAGAGCAAATTCAACCTTCACCATTAACTTACAAAGCGCATGTCAAGGAGGCGCCCCGGAATCGACAATTCCGCAAGGAGCATGACGTGAAGCGATGTGGTGAGGTGTACCGGCGCGTGATTTGGAACCTTGCCTGGCTGCTCAACCCCTGCCCAAATCTGGGGCAGCTTCAGTGTACTTCGACAAGTGCCGGATAACCAGCTTACCAGTCTGTTCCTATACAATCTTGTTCCGACCCTCGCCGCAAACGGACAAGACTGCTCAGAAGGGTTGTGGCACAGTGGTTGTGGCCCAAGTCGTGGTAGTTGTAGATGTTTTAAGAAGGGCGTGGGTGCGGTGGCCCATGGCATTTTCTCCCAAAGTGGCAGCAGTGCAAGATGCGCTTTCCACTAAAATGGGATTCATCGGATGCCTGGTGTCTGCGAGGACTTTTGCTGGGTCCGTCCTGGCAGAACCCAAGCATTTTCTAAGCATTTACGACAAGGCAAAATTGCCTGCAAGCCATTAGCTACTGCAAGGCTGAGCGGAGGTGCAGCAGGTCTGCACACCATGCGACACTTGACTGCTTCGTGTCGCAGCAATTGACATTTAATGTTGTAGCTAGACGGCATCGCGACGTGGGGTCCAGCCATCCCGCGCGCTCGCGATCATCTGCCTCTCTGGCGGAAAATGTCGTGCCGCTGACTTGCCGGGGCGGGCTGCTTGGCAACAAGGACATGTTTTAACCATTGGTTTGTATGCTACCTTCAAGACCAGAAGCATCTACTTGGGCAGATCGGCCCATGCACCATTCCAGACCTGAACACAATGCCCAGCCTGAGCAATGCAAAGCGTGCAGGCAAGAGATTGCCGATGAAAGGACAGAGGCTGTCGACGAGGCCACGGCTGGCAGCTCGAGGAGTCGATTTAAGAATGGGGGTTTCGGAAGTTAGGGCGGGTACCTTATAGGGGTCCTCATGATAAGGGAATGTTACTATTTGGGGGTCTCTTTTCGGGGTCCCCATCAAATGGCGAGGTCTTCAGGAGGTCTTTGTGAGTGTTGTGTGACATTCCATCGTCTTGATCGAAACCGCTGTCCGGGCTCTCTGGCTCCAGCTGCTGGCAAAACGCCACGCTGTGCTGACCATTAAAGCGTCAGACAGCAATGTTGGACAACCGTAGATATCCACTGTTGCCGCAGTAGAGGTCTGCCAAAACCCCACACTCCGGCTAGCAGCAAGAGAGTCTTCAGCCAACAAGCCTGCACAAGGACAAAAAACACGCGCGCGCGCGCGCACGCACGCACACCCGCACACACATAGAAATTGCCTCTTGAGCTTCTCCGAGCTTCTCCGAGCTTCTCCGAGCTTCTCCGAGCTTCTCCGAGCTTCTCCGAGCTTCGCGCTCATCGGGCACCTCGAGGTGCTGAGGCGCTTGGGCATCCTTGGGCTGATGGAAGGGAAGGGTTTTCGTCCTTGGGAGGTTTTTGGGTTCGGTTCCCCCCCCCCCCCCCCCCCCCCCCCCCCCCCCCCCGCCACCCCCACCCCAAAGAATGCAAAGATATGCAAAGCGAGGCGATGGGCGGGCGGGCTAGCCATTGCCTGCCAGAGCCCCGGCTCTCACTTTTGGCCTCGGGCCATGTGCCGGTTTTTTTGAGGAGATAGGTCGCCATCTTCGTCCTCAAGTGTGGGCCAAGGTGTGATACCGATGAGGCGGAGAACGAGGCTGGAGCCTGCCTATACACCCGAAGGCCTTCAGGCAACAACAATGAAACAACACTGACATGTGCCTTTCAGATGGGCTACCGGTTTTAGAGTGACCCAACTTGCTCAGTTGAATGCCACCGTCTTCGACGAGAAGACCTCTGGGCCGAGCGAAGTCAGGCGGATTCAGGGGACTGGGCAGGAGCTTGCGCCCAATTTTCCCATCACCCCTCTCTGGGACGCGCCAGGGCCCTCTTCACGTCCGGGCCTCGCAGCGATGCGCAGCGCTTCGATGCGTTTCGGTTCTGGGAGAGAATGGGTTCTAATGTTCTAATGTGCTCCACTTGCCAAATTTTCACCGCGATCCGTGTCCGCGCTTTCTTGGGGACTCGAACTCCACTCTCCAGGTATGAGAACGGCGCCACGTACGCAGGCTCCTGGCCTGGACCTCAGCCAGGGTCATGGCTCTGGGTTCACGCGTGCGCTGCGGTTTAATAGGCTTTCTTAGGCCTGTGGTCTGCCTTGAAGCTGCAGTTGCAATAACGTATCCACTGGCTCAGGGTGGGCGACATGAGGCAAGGCCACGGCGAGCAGGCCCGGAGCCCGGATGAAGGGTTCATGGCTCTTGTTAACCAATTCTAGCTGTACTTATAACCCACTCATAAGCCCCTTGTTATCAATACAGTTTTTGGTTAATGAGTACCATGGACCTCCAAGTTGAAGATTCCTGAAGTCTTGAGCCTGCCTTGGATGCCGCGCTTGGATGCCGCGCCTGCCAGTTGTGGACCGACGGGGCCAGATACGTTGGGCAGTGGGTGCGCCTCCGGAGACTTGATGAGATTTGTGTTGCGGCATGATGCGTGAGTTGATCAGAAGAGGGCATATGAGGAGAGTTTGCGTGACAAGCTCTTTTGTTCTGTCATGGTCTCTCATAGACGTGGTAGACCAGACGCAAAGCTGTCGGGCGCGTAAGCGCAGCCCGCCAGTTGAGCGACAAAGCCCACGGCTACGGGCGCTTCGAACACATCGATGGCGATGCAAAGTGCCCAGTGCAAGGGGGGTGGCCAAAGGGGGTGTAGAGGAGATGGGAGCAGTGACGCTCTTCCGTGAGGTCTACGAGGGTCAGTGGCGCGAGGATAAGGCTCACGGCCAGGGCATGTTGGAGCCTCAGCTCTGAAGTTGCTGTGAAGTTGTACCCATATACTGTACCCGTACTTGTACCCGTACTGTACCCACACTGTACCCATTCCTGCTGGGCAGGTATCAGCATGCTGACGGCTCCAAGTACGAGGGCCAGTGGAGAGATGATAAGCAGCCGGCTGCTTGGAGATCGGAATGTGAGGGACTACGCAGTTGAGCCTTCAGGGACGAGCACCCAAGATCACCCAAGTGAAGGCATGGAAAGGGCATCGAAATTTGGCCGGACGGTTGCGCTCTCAGAGCTGCAGTCGTAGTCATTCGTGCTGAGTTGCGCCGGCGACTTCCGGTCCTCGTCTCTGACGTGCCTGTCAGTTGCACAGATTTCATCTGCAGGTGCTAGATACCAGGGCGACTATGTAGCCTGGCACTCGGTCCGCAGCATCGCTCCAGGACGTTACTGTTTCCATTTGGCGTCAGGACGGCAAGAAGAACGGACACGGTAGCTTCATGTGGGCCGATGGCTCGAGCTACGAGGACAATGCTTATGGCCATGAAAGTGCTTGGATACCCAAACGAGTCCCTGGTACATGCAGCGACTGCATGGACATTGGAAGAAGAACTGAAGAAGCCTGATCCAAACCCGATCCAAACTTCGCACAGGGAGGATTCAGCAACAACGAGATCAACGGCGAGGGTTTGTACATTTGGGTGCGCCCGTTGCCTGCAGAAACCTGCAGAATGCAAGAGATCCTCACAGGCCTGAAGCCTGAAACCCTAGCAACTGGCTGTTGCAGGGGGACCGAAGAAGATACGAAGGTCAATGGGCCGTCGGCTGAGATGTTCCGCAGTTTAGGGTTGGTTGCGGCCCCTGAACACTCAGGCAGCCAGTTCCGCAGTTTAGGGTTGTGATGGGTTGTGTGATCGCTGGCCCTCTAAACCTTGACAATCTACAAGGTCAACAATCGCATGCACGGCCACGGTATCTTCACCTGGGCCGATGGGCGAAGATACGCGGCCCGATTGCAGACAATTTTGACACGGCGCTCTGGGCTCGAGGCGTTCCTACGAATTGCTTCAGAACCACCAAAAAATCTGCAAAACATTCTTCCTGACTAAGGGTAATATAGGGATAATATATAGTTTTTATTCTTCTGGGGTTCTTCAGCAGCAGCAAAGAGTAGGTTCGTTTAGGCCTTCGAGCCCTGGAAGTAGAAGCCACGTGTGGGCGCACCCGAGGAAGGACAGTACAAAGATGCCCGCGGCCCAGGCATGCAGTATACCGTCATTTGGCTTTGGGGATGTTTATTGTTACTACTCGTATGATGATTATAATTCCCAACAGCACATACTGTTGGGTTTCACGTGGATCAAACTCTTTGCGGCCGGCCAAAACGGGAGGAAGACGGATAAAATCCGGAAATGATGGAATATGAATGACGGAAACTTTCGGAAATGATGGGATGTGAAGGACGGGAAAATCCGGAGATGGTGGAATATGAAAGACGGAACTTTCGGGAAATGAGGGAACGTAAAAGACGGAAAAATCGGAGGTGGAATATGAAAGATGGAAATTTCCGGAACTAACGGGACATGAAGGACCGCGTATTCCGGAAATGGTAGAATGTGAATGACGGACATTTCCAGCAGCACATACTGTCGGGTTTCAGCCCCTAAAAAAAGGGGGAATTTGATCAACCTCTTTGCGGCCAATCAAAATGGGAAGAAGACGCAAGAATCCGGAAATGACGGAATACGAAGCGAATCGGGAAGAAGAACCCAAACCTCCAGACCAATGCAGCACCAAAGGGGTCAAGCGTCGATGTCCCAAACCAGTCGACATAAACCCAAAACCCAAAGCAATGCAGCACCAAAGGGGGTCAAGCTTCGATGTCCCAAACCAGCTTCACAACGCCCAAACCCCCAGAGCAATGCAGCACCAAAGGGGTCAAGGCTCGATGTCTAAGAACCGCCGACGCAACACCCAAACCCGCGAAGCAATGCAGCACCAAAGGGGTCAAGGCTCGATGTCTAAGAACCGCCGACGCAACACCCAAACCCGCGAAGCAATGCAGCACCAAAGCGGTCAAGGCTCGATGTCTAAGAACCGCCGACGCAACACCCAAACCCGCGAAGCAATGCAGCACCAAAGGGGTCAAGGCTCGATGTTTAAAAACCGCCGACGCAACACCCAAACCCGCGAAGCAATGCAGCACCAAAGGGGTCAAGGCTCGATGTCTAAGAACCGCCGACGGTCAAGCCTCGATGTCTAAGAACCGCCGACGCAACACCCAAACCCGCGAAGCAATGCAGCACCAAAGGGGTCAAGGCTCGATGTCTAAGAACCGCCGACGCAACACCCAAACCCGCGAAACAATGCAGCACCAAAGGGGTCAAGGCTCGATGTCTAAGAACCGCCGACGCAACACCCAAACCCGCGAAGCAATGCAGCACCAAAGGGGTCAAGGCTCGATGTCTAAGAACCGCCGACGCAACACCCAAACCCGCGAAGCAATGCAGCACCAAAGGGGTCAAGGCTCGATGTCTAAGAACCGCCGACGCAACACCCAAACCCGCGAAGCAATGCAGCACCAAAGGGGTCAAGCCTCGATGTCTAAAAACCGCCGACGCAACACCCAAACCCGCGAAGCAATGCAGCACCAAAGGGTCAAGCCTCGATGTCTAAAACCGCCGATGCAACACCCAAACCCGCGAAGCAATGCAGCACCAAAGGGGTCAAGGCTCGATGTCTAAGAACCGCCGACGCAACACCCAAACCCGCGAAGCAATGCAGCACCAAAGGGTCAAGCCTCGATGTCTAAAAACCGCCGACGCAACACCCAAACCCGCGAAGCAATGCAGCACCAAAGGGGTCAAGCCTCGATGTCTAAAAACCGCCGACGCAACACCCAAACCCGCGAAGCAATGCAGCACCAAAGGGGTCAAGCCTCGATGTCTAAAAACCGCCGACGCAACACCCAAACCCGCGAAGCAATGCAGCACCAAAGGGTCAAGCCTCGATGTCTAAAAACCGCCGACGCAACACCCAAACCCGCGAAGCAATGCAGCACCAAAGCGGTCAAGCCTCGATGTCTAAAAACCGCCGACGCAACACCCAAACCCGCGAAGCAATGCAGCACCAAAGGGGTCAAGCCTCGATTTTAAAAACCGCCGACGCAACACCCAAACCCGCGAAGCAATGCAGCACCAAAGGGGTCAAGCCTCGATGTCTAAAAACCGCCGACGCACACCCAACCCCGCGAAGCAATGCAGCACCAAAGCGTCAAGCCTCGATGTCTAAAAACCGCCGACGCAACACCCAAACCCGCGAAGCAATGCAGCACCAAAGCGGTGGCAAGAACCGCCGCGCAACACCCAAACCCGCGAAGCAATCAGCATCAATCTCGATCTAAAACCGCCGACGCAACACCAAACCGCGAAGCAATGCAGCACCAAAGGGTCAAGGCTCGATGTCTAAGACCGCCGACGCAACACCCAAACCCGCGAAGCAATGCAGCACCAAAGCGGTCAAGCCTCGATGTCTAAAAACCGCCGACGCAACACCCAAACCCGCGAAGCAATGCAGCACCAAAGGTGTCAAGCCTCGATGTCTAAAACCGCCGACGCAACACCCAAACCCGCGAAGCAATGCAGCACCAAAGCGGTCAAGCCTCGATTTCTAAGAACCGCCGACGCAACACCCAAACCCGCGAAGCAAAGCAGCACCAAAGCGGTCAGGCCTCGATGTCTAAGAACCGCCGACGCAACACCCAAACCCGCGAAGCAATGCAGCACCAAAGCGGTCAAGCCTCGATTTCTAAGAACCGCCGACGCAACACCCAAACCCGCGAAGCAATGCAGCACCAAAGCGGTCAAGCCTCGATGTTTAAGAACCGCCGACGCAACACCCAAACCCGCGAAGCAATGCAGCACCAAAGCGGTCAAGCCTCGATTTCTAAAAACCGCCGACGCAACCCAAACCCGCGAAGCAATGCAGCACCAAAGGGGTCAAGCTTCGATGTCTAAGAACCGCCGACGCAACACCCAAACCCGCGAAGCAATGCAGCACCAAAGCGGTCAAGCCTCGATGTGTAAAAACCGCCGACTAAAAACCGTCGACGCAACACCCAAACCCGCGAAGCAATGCAGCACCAAAGGGGTCAAGCCTCGATGGCGACAACCGCCGACGCAACAGCACCAAAGGGGTCAAGCCTCGATTTCTAAAAACCGCCGACGCAACCCAAACCCGCGAAGCAATGCAGCACCAAAGGGGTCAAGCTTCGATGTCTAAGAACCGCCGACGCAACACCCAAACCCGCGAAGCAATGCAGCACCAAAGCGGTCAAGCCTCGATGTCTAAAAACCGCCGACGCAACACCCAAACCCGCGAAGCAATGCAGCACCAAAGGGGTCAAGCCTCGATGGATAAAACCGCCGACGCAGCACCCAAACCCGCGAAGCAATGCAGCACCAAAGGGGTCAAGCCTCGATGTCTAAAAACCGCCGACGCAACCCAAACCCGCGAAGCAATGCAGCACCAAAGGGGTCAAGCTTCGATGTCTAAGAACCGCCGACGCAACACCCAAAACCCGCGAAGCAATGCAGCACCAAAGCGGTCAAGCCTCGATGACTTAAAAACCGCCGACGCAACACCCAACCCCGCGAAGCAATGCAGCACCAAAGGGGTCAAGCCTCGATGTCTAAAAACCGCCGACGCAACACCCAAACCCGCGAAGCAATGCAGCACCAAAAGGGTCAAGGCTCCTTGTCTAAAAACCGCCGACGCAACACCCAAACCCGCGAAGCAATGCAGCACCAAAGGGGTCAAGGCTCGATGTCTAAGAACCGCCGACGCAACACCCAAACCCGCGAAGCAATGCAGCACCAAAGAGGTCAAGCCTCGATGTCTAAAAACCGCCGACGCAACACCCAAACCCGCGAAGCAATGCAGCACCAAAGGGGTCAAGACTCGATGACTTAAAAGCACCGACTAAAAACCGCCGACGCAACACCCAAACCCGCGAAGCAATGCAGCACCAAAGGGGTCAAGCCTCGATGGCTAAAACCACCGACGCAACACCCAAACCCGCGAAGCAATGCAGCGCCAAAGGGGTCAAGGCTCGATGTCTAAAAACCGCCGGCGCAACACCCAAACCCGCGAAGCAGTGCAGCACCAAATGAGTCAAGCCTCGATGTGTAAAAATTTGCCGACGCAACACCCAAGCCCGCGAAGCAATGTCAAGCATCGATGCCTAAAAACCGCCGACGCAACACCCAAACCCGCGAAGCAATGCAGCACCAAAGGGGTCAAGCCTCGATGTTTAAAAACCGCCGACGCAACACCCAAACCCGCGAAGCAATGCAGCACCAAAGGGGTCAAGCATCGATGTCTAAAAACCGCCGACGCAACACCCAAACCCGCGAAGCAATGCAGCACCAAAGGGGTCCAGGCTCGATGTCTAAAAACCGCCGACGCAACACCCAAACCCGCAAAGCAATGCAGCACCAATGAGATCAAGCCTCGATGACTTAAAAACTGCCGACTAAAAACCGCCGACGCAACACCCAAACCCGCGAAGCAATGCAGCACCAAAGGGGTCAAGCCTCGATGTTTAAAAACCGCCGATGCAACACCCAAACCCACGAAGCAATGCAGCACCAAAGGGGTCAAGCCTCGATGTCTAAGAACCGCCGACGCAACACGCAAACCCGCGAAGCAATGCAGCACCAAAGGGGTCAAGCCTCGATGTCTAAAAACCGCCGGACGCCACACCCAAACCCGCGAAGCAATGCAGCACCAAAGGGGTCAAGCCTCGATGTCTAAAAACCGCCGACGCGACACCCAAACCCGCGAAGCAATGCAGCACCAAAGGTGTCAAGCATCGATGCCTAAAAACCGCCGACGCAACACCCAAACCCGCGAAGCAATGCAGCACGAAAGGGGTCAAGCCTCGATGTCTAAAAACCGCCGACGCAACACCCAAGCCCGCGAAGCAATGCAGCACCAAAGGGGTCAAGCCTCGATGTGTAAAACCGCCGACGCAACACCCAAACCCGCGAAGCAATGCAGCACCAAAGAGGTCAAGCCTCGATGTGTAAAAACCGCCGACGAAACACCCAAACCCGCGAAGCAATGCAGCACCAAAGGGGTCAAGCCTCGATGTCCCAAACCCTTGGACACAACACACAAACCAGAGAAGCAATGCAGCACCAAAGGGGTCAAGACTCGATGTCTAAAAACCGCCGACGCAACACCC